TCTGCGCACCTCAGCCCCGCAAAGTGCTGGGATTACAGGTGTGAGCCACCATGCCTAGCCTTTCATGCTTCATAAGTAACAAGAAAATATGATAGAAGAAAGGTAGGATTATATAATATCAAAAAATAAATGGGCAGGCTGGCTATGACAAAGGCCAAAACAAAGTATGATATACCAGCTGACATTTATTATTCCTACCCAACCCTTACCCTATCACTCTTCAAGACATATGCCCAGATACACACAGAAAGCTAATAGCATCACTTTGAGGAGTTTAATCATAACCCATCAACAGAAGAACCTACTGCACAGGCAACACCAGAATGAGTGTATTATTAGGGTTGCTAATCACTAAAATCTCAAGATCAGGTTTCTGGGCACATCTTGCTACATCTGCGCGGGTCCCAGATGGTATGCAAACCAAGTTTGGAGCCTGATTCTTCATAACAGGCTGTTCCTGCAATATCACAAAGGTTGCAACAGAATTGTGCAACAAGAGCAAGAATACTCTGCATGCAGTCTCCTCTAGCACAGTCCTGCTCCTGACTCTGCAGGTCTGAAAAAAGGTTTTGGTCAACTTCTGGGTCCCAGAAACAAGGCTATTATTGCATAGAACACCTGAAGGTGCCTAGCTTTACTCCTTATAGAGAAGGACTAGTCATAATATACAACATACTTCCCCTTCCACCAGAATTGACTGGGAAAGGGTACCTTGGAACTTTCTGGAGTGATGGCAGAACTCTAATATCTTGATGGGAAGAGTGTGGGTTACATGGGTGTATACATTTGTTAAAACTTAGAGTTGTTTTAAGATTCACACATTTCACCATATATAAATTTTACCTAGAAAAAAAGAACTATGCACAAATAGGAACTCTAGGTTCTAGGTTTATTTTCTGTAGTAGTATGGGCTAGCAATTTTGAAACTACTTCCTGTGTATTCTAGACTTCAGCAAGTGAGTAAATATATCCAGGATAGGGCTGGGCGCAGTGGCTCACACCTGTAATCCCAGCACTTTGGGAGGCCGAGGTGGGCGCATCACGAGGTCAGCAGTTAGAGACCAGCCTGAGCCAACAGAATGAAACCCTGTCTCTACTAAAAAATACAACAAATTAGCCAGGCATGGCGGCGAGCGCCTGTAATCCCAGCTATTTGGGGAGCTGTGGCAGGAGAATCACTTGAACCTGGGAGGCGGATGGAGGTTGCAGTGAGCCAAGATCGCAGGTTTCTCACTGTTGAAGGTAGTCAGAAATATGGAAAACGAAAAAGTAGCATCACCAAAAGGGATATAATATATATAACTCCCGACACGAGGAGACAGCATCACTTCTTTGGTATTCCCACCAAAAATTCATAACCTGCATTGAATCATAGGGAAACATCAGACAAATCCACATTGAGGGAAATTCTACAAAAATAACTGGCAAAATATCAAAACATCAAAGAAAGACAGAGGAAGATGAAGTAACTTTTCCAGATTGAAGGAAGCCAGAGACATGACAACTAAATGCAATGTTTGATCCTCAATTGGATCCTGGTCTGGGAGGAAAAAACCTATAATGAACATTAACTGGTATAAACAACAACATTGAATACACAGACTGTGGATTAGAAAATAGTATTGTGCAAACATTAAACTGCCTGAATTTGATAAGGGTAAAAGGGTATTGTGTTTAGGTAAGAGAATGTCTTTGTTCTTTGGAATTTACATTGAAGCATTCAGTTATAAAGGATCACAATGTCTCCAACTTACTCTCAAAATTTCAAGAAAAAAATGGGGGAGGGGAAGGGAAGGAGGAGGGATTGGAGGAGGACAGCACATATGCATGGGGCAAAATGTTAACAATGGATGAATGTAGGTAAAGTGCATACCGGAGTTCCTTGTACTATTCTTGCAATGTTTCTATTAAGCTTAAAATTGTATCAAATAGAAAGTTACCCAAAAATACTCTACTGCCAAAAAATATTTAGGTGAGAGTCTAACAATAACAAAGTAATTTAATGTACTACAGGAAATTCTTCCAGGAATATTGATTTTAAAAATTGTACTTTTCGGCCGGGCGCGGTGGCTCAAGCCTGTAATCCCAGCACTTTGGGAGGCCGAGACGGGCGGATCACGAGGTCAGGAGATCGAGACCATCCTGGCTAACACGGTGAAACCCCGTCTCTACTAAAAATACAAAAAACTAGCCGGGCGAGGTGGCGGGCGCCTGTAGTCCCAGCTACTCGGGAGGCTGAGGCCGGAGAATGGCGTGAACCCAGGAGGCGGAGCTTGCAGTGAGCTGAGATCCGGCCATTGCACTCCAACCTGGGCGGCAGAGCGAGACTTCGCCTCAAAAAAAAAAAAAAATTGTACTTTTCCCTCTGGTAGTAATGCCACAATACTCTAGTTAGCTTGGAATTTCTTTGTAGAAGTAAAGAGCAACTCACATAAACTTCAAATAAGGTCTTTTGAAATTTCATTGACAAATACCATCTGTTTAGAAAGTTCTGCAAGACAGTAAGTAGAAACTGGAATGAAAGTGACTCCTCACCACCCACCTCTCCCCACCATTCTTCAGTATTTTTCCCCTAAGATGGAACAATTCACCTTCTTATGTGCCAACCTAAGATCAAATAGGATAAGAAATGATTTGTGGGTAAATGGTCCAACTTTTCTGCTTCAGAGGCAAAGCACTGTATTCTTCCCCATCTCAGGCTACATAGAGAGCTCTCGCTCGTGTGTACGCGTGCTCTCTCTCTCTCTCTATATATATATATGTATGTATATAATGGTATTGCTTTGTTTTTAATAAATAAGGTAATGAACAAGTGTTTTACTATCCAGCAGAACTTATTCTACTTCCCCAATCTGTCTCTATTTGTGGTTAAATCAAGACACAAGCATGGCCTTGATCCTGGTGGGGAGGAGGAAACATACTGAAAACTACCAAAGGAAAAAATTACTTCATGAATGTCAAAGGATACATTTTTAAAAGTCATTTTTAGCCCCAAAGAATCTTTTGAAACAATAACAACTATGACATGACTCTGTATAAAATGTATTATGCTAAATACACATTAAGAAAAATTCACATACAAAGAAATGAAAATGTAATTGGATTTGTCATTTTAAAGTATTAACATTGGGTTTGTAGATAATAGAGAATGACAATCTCCTAAGCGAATAAAGAAGGTAGCCAAGTAAGTAAATGCTGCATTTCTACTGTAAGGAAATACGTGCACCAATGAAGCAACCTTTCTAGCACAAAAGAAATTTAATACCCAGACCACATGAAAAGTGATCGCTATGGGAATAGCACAGCTGTTAAAATCCGAGTCAGTTTTTATTAAATCGTCCAACATGTTTATGTAAAGCAGGACTCTCAGAATAATCACCAAGAGGAAATAATTTTGCTAACAAAAAAGTGATACCTGTATTTAATTTAAAGCTTACAATAAGTGTGAAAGAAAAATGCTAAGCTATTCTCTTTTAAAGTATATAAGGAATGCCCAGTTAGTTGGTATGCTTGTGATTCTTTTATAAACAGTATCTCAAAGGCTAATTTAATTAGAACTAGAACAAAAAAGAATGAGTGTTTGCATTTCACTTAAAGAAACCAATTATCTTTATTTCATTGACTAGCCAGACCAACATAAAGCTATAGAAAACCTTCTGGCACCTGTGCCAAATGATTTCAGTATGAAAATTAATACTGCCAAGTTATTTGGAGACCAGTTAGCTCAACCATTCAAAGAAAAAAAAAATCTGCTCCACTAAAGATGTAGTATATAATCCTAAAACTTGCATTTCTGAGGATGGAGGTGCATGCAGACAGACATCCTTGAGGCCCTGGCTTGAGCAGATATATCTTAAAGGAAACTACAGAAAGAATGGGCTCATGGGTAACTACTGACGAAGTCTAAGCCTGAAATCTCAACATAGGCACTTGGGATGCATAATAAAACGGGCTTAATTTACTTTGGAAGCAAAAAGAAAATAATTACTCTAAATTTTTGAGCATCTAAATGTAACCAAATTTATCAACATTGCTTGTCAATTCTACATTCAGTTTTTTAGAGAAACTGGTCGGGATTGTGCTTCCCATAAAATATAGCCCAAGTACAGTTTTCAAAGGAAGCTTGTCAACTCAGAATAGAGAAAAACGTCCCTAGAATTCTCTTTCTTCCACAGTGGCAGACGATGAAGGCTACACAGAAAAATAGTCCCAAATTATAACTGAGAAGCCACAGTTGGGGATTAGTGGCCAACAACATTATTTTGTATAGTACTTCAACATGAAAATCTTTACTTATCAGCAATTATGAGCCTTAAAAGCCCAGGTCAAGTCACTGGGCATTAGAAGTCTGAAAGGGACACTTGAAAGGAAATCAGCTATCACATACAGTGTACATGTAAAAGTCACTCAGACGGTATCTGAAAGCCTATTAAAACATGAGATGCCATCACTGTAGTTTTGCGATATATCAGCCGTTTCCCATTATGATGGCTAACATACTGGCTCTATTTTTAGAGCTTCTGGAAAGATCAAAGCTGAAGGGGCCCTTTTAGTGGCTCCCCATCCAGACCCCTAATCTCTGTTTACTTTTTCTTTGTAATTATGTGGATCTGCAGAAGACGCATAGCCAGGGCTGCCTCACTCTCAGAGTAATGCTTTAAAAAATTGCTCTGTGAGGGTCCCTGCTAGGAGGGAACCCTCTGGGGAGGAACAAAGAGCAGTAAAGTTCAAATTCAAGACAAAATTAGCATGATGTAAGTATTGATACAGAGTTGAAATATTCTAACTCGTCTCCCTACACATTTTCTCAGGCTGGTTTTAAACCACTGTGAGAATGAATACACATCCATGAAAACAAAGTCCTTTCTGAGTGCTTAGACCCCACCCTTCCCCCACAAAAAGCTCTTAGTTGGTTTCAATGGCTCTAGCTGGTGAGGCTGTGGTCAAATGTTGACCCGCTCACTTTTAAAAACAAGTCCCTCCAATACAAAATGACTTACTTTGGAAGAACAAGCTGTACATTTGTCAAATGCCAGGCTGACGGGAAGGACATTATCAAACCGTGACAGAAATCCCCGGATCTAAAAACAAAACAAAACAATTCACATCAAACACACAATGACCACATCTATGAAATGCATGTCTGGTTTCTGACAAGAAGTAGGAAATGATTAATATGGCGGTCCGGATAGAGATGATGAGCAAAATAAGTTCGAAATGAGTATTTTCCCTTGTAATCAGTTTGCAGAAGAACTACATTAGGTCCTTTACTCCATTAGGAGCCAGGGCTTACAAGCTTTTCAAGTATTTCTGACCTAAAAACAAACTGACTGTAAAACACAAAATGCAAGCTGTAGTATCTAAAGTATTAACAAATGTCTTCCAAAATGTAACAGGTCCACTGGTATACTCAACAATTAGCTCCCACGTGTGTTCTAGTGAATATGGGATAAATACACATTTCTACGACATGATTTTGGGTGGGGTCTCACAAGGAAAGACGGCTTGGGGACTGTGGAAGGCAGAAATAGCCCTAAGCATATATCCAGTTATTTGCTTAATTTGGAACAGACATAAAATGTAAAACATCATCAGATTTATGGGGAAACAGCACCACCTTGAGCATAAACTTCTGGACTACAACTGAGTTACATTTCCAGAGTACCAGCTATAGTTAGGTTTCACAAACTATGACTGTAGTAATTTATTCAGAACATTATACCTCTATATACTATACTTACACCAAAGGGGGAGTTTTAAGCTGTTCTATATATCATAAAAATACGAATGGTAAAATCTCTGACGTCTCCATAGGACTCAACGTTTACAATAAACCAGACAACACAAATCTTATGAGTTAATTTATTTGACCTTTCAAATTCCCCATTTTATGTTGAAAAACCTCAGGCTCAGGAAGAGTGGCAACTTGGCTCAGGTAAACAGTAAGTAATGGAGCCAAGACTCAAAAATGGACCTCCTGATGCAAATCTGGCCCAGGTCTGAACTTCCCTCCCTCTCAGAATATCACAGCGTTTGTCTTCAACACTAGGTCTCCTCACAACTTTAACACTCTCACTTGAATAGAACAAAAAACCCAATCTACCACCCTTTAGCCATCCTTTTAACACCATGCCCTTTCCCTCAAACCCCCACCCCCCAAAACACAAACAAAAAACTTGACAAACTCTTGAAAGAAAAAGGCTTTCTGAGTTTTGGATAACTCCATCCTGATGTTCACACTGTAATAGTGTTGTTTGCGCATACTTATCTCAGGAAAAAATCTAACCTGGAAAAAAATGCCTATGGTATTTTTTTTATTTTTATTTTTTTTCTGAGATGGAGTCTCGCTCTGTCGCCCAGGCTGGAGTGCAGTGGTGTGATCTCAGCTCACTGCAACCTCTGCCTCCCAGGTTCAAGTGATTCTCCTGCCTCAGCCTCCCAAGGAGCTGGGGTTACAGGTGCGTACCACCACACCCAGTTATTCTGTATTTTTAGTAGCGATGGGGGTTTTGTCATGCTGTCCATGGCATGTCCAAACTCCTGACATCAGATGACCCGCCCGCTTTGGCCTCCCAAAGTGCTGGGAGTACTGACGTGAGCCACTGTGCCCCGCCCGATTTTTAAATGTCCTTATTAATATGCTATGTGTTTTTTAATGCAATCCAAGATCAAGTGTTTGATAGAACTGATAAATTTGGGCCAGGCGGTGGCTCATGCCTGTAACCCCAAAACTTTGGGAGGCCGAGGCAGGCAGGTCACCTGGGGCCAGGAGTTCAAGACCAACCTGGACAACATGGCAAAACCCCATCTCAACTAAAAATACAAAACAACTGCTGGGTGTGGCGGTGGGCGCCTGTAATTCCAGCTACTCGACAGGCTGTGGCAGGAGAATCACTTGAACCTGGGAGGCAGAGGTTGCAGTGAGCTGAAAGCATGCCATTGCACTCCAGCCTCAGTGACAGAGTGAGACTCCATCTCAAAAAAAAAAAAAAAGACATTTGGTAACTGGTATAAGTTAGACAGCCTCATTATAAACATATGAAAATATGACAACCTTTTAGTTCCTAATATCTCAGGAATGTGGTAATCATTTCATAATCCATGGCTTGAGCCATAATCAGGGTCATAAGTTTGCTATTCAGGACACCAAAACAGGAGACATCAAAATAGCAGAAAAGAGTTTAATAGCAAGTCACAAATGGGAACGCTGAAATTTTCATGAGCTCTGGAAGTTACAGGCTTGAGAATACTTACAGGTAGTCTCCTCTATATCCCAATTACTTTTATATTAAGTTTACTTAGAAAAGAACTTTATCACATTTAGCATATTTTTCCATTAAAGTTTTTAACATGGCCTACATGTCATGTGTCCATCTACGTTTCATGGAAAGGTTTCTGCATGCTGTTTTCTCTAATACGGTTTTCATCAAACTTTCTTTATGTTGCACAAATACTGGTAATTTTCTCTGATACTGTGTTACCATTGGAGGTGAGCAGGTAAAGCTGAGGGACAGGGAGAAAGTACATCCAGTTGGGGTAGAAAGGAAGAGAGGAAATAGAGAAGGGAAGAGAAAAATAACAACAACAACAACAACACAGGTGGCGAGGAATAGAACAAAAAGGAGATGCCATGCACGGGATTGGTTGAGTGAGGGTCCAAACACCACTGTTCAGCAGCCCCAGACAGTTCTTTACTAGGAAACAGATTTATTTACCCAGAAAATGAAGTAGAATAATATTTGTGTGAGGACTTTCAAATTCACCAAGTTGGTATCAGAAGGCCCAGAATTTAACCAAAATAATTCCAGTTTTAGATAATTTAGGACAGGAAGCCCTTCTTCTCAACCCTACTGCAAGAGACTCCTAAGGGGGTACTTCCACAGGTGGGCTCCCTCCCTTCTAGCTAATGCAAAGACTGAGCTGTCAATTTTCCTAATACACAACTCTGAGGCCTATCGTTTTTTACCCACTCCCTATAGCTGACAAAATAAGACAGAATTCCTTGCACTCCAAGGTCCCTCTGCTCTGGGCACGGCTCACCTTTCCAATTAAATTCTGGATTGAATTTTTCACAAACTCTGTACAACTGCTAAGCTGAACTACAACTTCCCTCCCAAAGATATTCTTGATTTCCTGAGCTTGCCTCATGCTGAATTCTGTGACTCAAAACTCTTCCTTTTGGTGACAGCTACATATCTAAGTGTTCACCTTCCTTAAAAACCACTCAGCTCAAATACACCTCGTTCACAAATTCTCAATCTACCACCCAACCTAGAAATAATATCTCTACCCTCTGAAATCCTTCTTTTGATCTTTATGCCCAAAATGCCTTGAGGAATAGTTTTGGGAGTTTAAAATTCGTAACAGGCTTGAGATATAATACACATACCATAAAATTCATCTTTTAAACTGTACAGCTCAGTGGTTTTTAGCATATGAACAGTTTTGCAACCATCATCACTATCTAATTTCAGAACATTTTCATCACCCCCAAAAGAAACCCAGCAATTAGTCCTCATTCTCCCCTCTTCTCAGACACTGGCAACCACTAATCTACTTTGTTTCTCTTGTTTTATCTATTCTGCTTATTTACTATAAATGAAACCACAAATGACTGGCTTCACTTAGCATATTTTCATCCACATTGTATCATATGTCAGTATTTCATTCCTCTTTACTGCCAAATAATATTTAATTGTGTCACTATACCACATTTATTTAGCAATTCATCAGTAGATGTGCATTTCTCTTGGAAATATACGTAGGCGCAGAATTACTGGGTCATATGACTGTTTAACGTTTTGAGGAACTGCCAACTTGTTTTCCAAAGTGACCATATCATCTTAAAATCTTGGCCGGGCGTAGTGGCTCACACCTGAATCCCAGCACTTGGGAAGCTGAGGCAGCCAGACCACAACGTCAGGAGTTTGAGACCAGCCTGGCAAACATGGTGAAACCCCATCTCTAGTAAAAATACAAAAATTAGCCGGGTGTTGTGGTACGTGCCTGTAATCCCAGCTACTCAGGAGGCGGAGGCAGGAGAATTGCTTGAACCCGGGAGGCAGAGGTTGCAGTGAGCCGTGATAACGCCATTGCACTCCAGCCTGGATGACAGAGCAAGACTCCATCTTGGGAACAGGGGGAAAAAAAATCTCACCAGCCAAGTGTGAGGGCTCCAATTTCTTCACTTCCTTGTCAACACTTGTTATGATCTCTTGTAGATTATATGTGAATATGAAACAGCATCTAACTATGGTTTTGACTTGCATTTCTCTAATGACTGGTAATGTCAAGCATCTTTCCATGTGCTTCTTGACCATTTGTGTATCTTCTTTGGAGAAATGTCTATTCAAATCATTTGCCAAGTTTTAAACATTTTTTAAATTGCTGAATTGTAAGTTTGTTACATATTCTGGATAAAGGTTTCTTACCAAATATATCATCTGCAAAAATATTCTCCCATTCTGTTTTTTTTTCTGTTCATTTGTTTGATACAGCATCTTGCCCTGTTCTCCAAGCTGGAGTGCAGCAGTGTGATCTCGGCTCACTCTAGCCTTGAACTCCTGAGTTCAAGCGATCCTCAGCCTCTCCAGTAGCTGCGACTACAGGCACACACCACCACACTCAGCTAATTCTTTTGATTTTTTTTTTTTTTTTTAAGAGAGATGAGGTCTCGCTATGTTGTCCATGCTGGTCTTGGACTCAGGGCTCAAGCAATCCTCCCACCTTGGCCTCCCAAAGCATTAGGATTTCAGGCATGAGCCACCATGCCCAGCCTTTTTTTTTTCTTTTTTCTTTTTTCCTTCTCTTGAAGCACAACAGTTTATTTTAGTGAAGTCCTACTTACCATTTTTTCTTACATTGATTGGTCTTTTGGCATCTTACATAAGAAACCATTGTCTAACCCAAGATCATAAAGATTTATGATATTTTCTTCTAGGAATTTTTACAGTTTTAGCTCTCACATGATGTCTATGATCTATTTTGAGTTAATTTTTTAATATGGTATGAAATAAAGGTCTAAATTCATTCTTTTGCATGTGGAATCCTGTTGTCTCCGTACTATTTGTTGAAAACAGTA